TTGCTTAAAGCTGAAAATCAGTAGACCTTTTTCCCCCCATTAACAATCCTCTTTCCTCACAGGTAATCACCACAATTCTCCACGAGGAGCACCTGTGCAGGACCTGGAACAAAGGCTACATCATAATTATTAAAATGCTAAAGACTCAATTAAAATCTTCTTGATGTGCAAGTTCATGCTTAAAGTGCGGTGCTAAATAAAGTACTGAAGTGCCTTCACCAAAGTGCAAGTATATATTTAAAGTGCTGTACAAACAATAGAAAACCCCTGAAATGAAGATCTCTTCCTTACAAGGTATAAGCAACCCTACAGCAACCTACTGTATCTAGCGCTCAGACAACGTTGGCGAACTAAAAAAGCTAACTGCTAGCCTTTAAATTAGTGTGGCAAGGTGGAGAAACAAGGGCCTGGGCAGGATTCAATCCCCAGACTCCCGGGTGAGAGTCATACGCGCTTACCAGTCAGCCAAAGGGACATCCCCTTGGCCAAGTAGCCAGGGCACATGATCAATCGAGACACTGTGACAGGACGCTCACACTGCCACATTAGCTACAAGTGGAGTAAACAGCTCACAGCTGTAAAGCAGGTAGAGAGCTCCCACTATAGTGTTACTACCCACACCACTAAACTGCTCAGAGCAGTTTCGGGTCAAAGGTGGGCTACAGAGTGCCGTCCAGCTTGAAGCTGCTCACGTTTCTGGATAAAACAATAGCTTCAAGTGTTAAAAATGTTTTAGTGTTGCTTTAAAATAAAAAGAAAGTGAATGCCGTTTCATTTCACTTCAACATTGAAACTGCAAAAATCTGAATGCATACTGGACACATGTGGGCTAAATCTGCTGTGTTTATGTTCAGTTAGGCCATAGCCACGGAATATTCTCCCCCACCCATCTAATCTTTATCCGGGACAAAATTAATGTGAGGAGATCTGTAAACAACACGAGGTGTCTCTACGCCACACACAAACACAACGGAGCACAAGATAAGATTAGATAAATCTGTACTGTCGTTGTCACTGTTTCCAGGAACAAAGAGATTGAAGGTGCAGTTGACGCACAAGCCTAAAACCGACTACATAAAAGAGATAAAACCAGAACAAAAAGTCTGCAGATATGTACAGAATGATATTGCACTAAGTTTTGTGCTATTGACCTGCGGTCAATGTGCCCATCTCGGTTGATTGTTCAGAGCCACGATTGCTCTTGGGTAGAAGCTGTTCCTGAGATGGTTCATCCTCGTTTTCATGGCTCTGTATCTTCTCCGCGATGGCAAAGGACCTGCCCAGGGTGTGATGGATCCTCAGAGATGTCTGTATGCAGCAACAAGAGACGTAGATGTCTTCCAGAGTGGGGAGGGTTAGGGTTAGGGTTAGCAGTTGTTCTATCTGCTGCCCTGATGACCCCAAGATTGACAATGACGTTGAACATTCTGTTCTGTTGCTGGCTTGATCTGACTCTGAACCCAGAAAGCAAGGCAGGAGGCAGAAAGCTCTGGAGCAACCAGTGACTCCCACCATAGTCAATCTGTGTTGCATTTTTGGAGGAACCACGAGGAAGCACGGACTGAAAAGTTGTGGAGAGTACCAAACCGTGCTGTTGGAAAAGGGGCATTATGAGCCAACCTGAGCCATTCCCAATCTCTCCCTGCCTTGTTCTGTGCACGGCCCATCCTCAGCTCCCCTCAGTCTCTGCCTCCCAGCCAGATTTTCAACCGTGGAAATCCAGCATTCTATCCCAACTCTTCTCATAGATCTCAGCAAAAATACGTCCCCTAATTATTTTTGCCTTTTTACCAGAACAGATCTCTCCAGCTATTCTGTTTTCTGCACTCTGACCAATGATCCGATTCCTTACCACCTTTTCATTTCATCCTCCCAGTTTGTTTTTTTCCCTTTCCACTGTCTCAGACATAACCCTTGCCTGTGTACTGATCATATGTTTGGGTTTTGGATTTTAGTTTAGTCTTTCAGTGTCCGTGATGCCCATAAAGAAAGTTCTAAACAAACCAAGGAGGATTGTGGAGCTGCAAGAAGATTCAGGAGTCCTGAATCTAGACTCTACAGCTCATTTTCCACTAACACTCACTCCTATGTTGGGCTCAATTTCTGGGTCCTCAGAATCAACCTTTACACGTTTTTAAGCATTCTTAAGGACGGTTTAGAATTGCTAAAGTGGCCATTAACAAATATTTTCTGCAGAGATCTCTCAAAACCCTCAGTTGTGACTCTGTGAAATAACAAGATACATCCCATAGCGACACCAAAATGTCTTTATTTTATAATGCATGTGACTTCCTGCTGGAGGCTTGTTATTAATGATTATTTAAAGCGGACACAAGAGTGGCTTTCAGTGCATTTGTTCATGTGTGACAGTCAGTGGGTAAACCGGGTACATCTGGTTAGGGAGTGGGGTCACCTGGTATGACGCCCTTGAACGGTCACTGGCATGTGAGGTAAACACTTAAACCTCTCGGCGTTGAAATGAAAAATCTGGTTTGATCATCGGGTCTACTGTGATAAAATGAAGGAGGAGAAGTGGCGTCAGAGGCGAGTGTTTCACCTAGGGTGTTTTCACATCTCCTCTGAAGTTCTGGTTCATTTAAAAGGTGTTTGGATCTTTTTGACTCTGGGGACACATGTGGTGTTTGGTGAAGATTAAACCTTTTGTTAAATAATTTTTACATCTTCACCCTGAATGTACTTTACTGAAACAACACAAACAGCAAACTATTCCAAATCTACAGACTCACAACAAGTTTCCAAAGACTAGGCGATCATTGAAACCAATAAAAAATCATAATTTAATATTTTGGAGAAATTTAACTGATGTTCTCAGATTGTCATTAGGGAGGCATGCAGTTATTCAGTAAGAGGAAGTGAGAATTGTGGTGAAAAACCAAAAATAGAATGTCAGCTGTACTGAAACATCTTTACCAAGACGAGTTCAACTCTGACTCGGCACGCAGTTTAATAAACTCACAGAACGCATTCTTATGATCTCTACTTTATTTTGACACCAGACCTCTTTTGGGTTTGTGTGCTATGGAGGCTGGTTCTTTGCAGCAAAGTTTTACTTCATACAGACTCTCACATCTGACTGTGCTTCATGAGAATGCAAGTGTAAATATAGGAAACTTGTACTCCTCACACTTAGACTACTGCAGCTTGCTTTTCTCTTGTCTGAGCAAAACCTCCCTGCAGGTGGGTCAGAATGCCTGTCCTCAGCTTCTGATCAAATCATCAAAGTACACCCGCATCACTCCTCCAGCTTCACTGGGTGCCAGTCAACTTCAGATTCTGGTCCAACATCCTGGTTCTGGTCTATAGGGCATTACATGGACAAGGACCATCTTGCATTGGTGATCTTCTTTGTCCCTACACCCCCAGCAGGTCCCTGAGGTCCAGTGTTCAAAGCCTGCTGGTTGTGCAGCACCAGGCTAAAGACCAAAGGTGACAGATCATTTGCTGCTTTGGCCCCCAGACTCTGGATCTCTCTCCCCCTAAGCCTGAGATCAGTGGGCTCAGTTGTCTCCTTTAAAAAGCAGCTGAAGACTTTTTTTATCTTTCTTATTTTTTACATTTTTGTTCTTGTGAAGCACCTCGTACTTTTTATCTTGAGAGGTGCTATATAAAAGATCTTCTTTCTTTCTTCCTTTCTAGGATGGCTTGCCAGCCACGTAACTTCATGGTAGTAAAATGTTTCTGACATTGTTTTAAGTCAAAATACTTGAAAAAAACATTTGATAGAAGTCAGTTCTAATATACGAAGTGATCCACAGTCATGTTTTGGTGTTGGTTTTGTATGGCTCCTCTCAAGAGAAAAATTACAAGTTGCCCAAGAACAAAAATGTAAAAACAAAAAACAACAAGATTAAAAAATGATTTAAAAATATAATATAACAGAGAGAAGTAAAAAATTGTTATTAAAAAAGAGAAAGTGAATAAGAAAGAGGTAAACAGCGGATCCTGCCAGGAAAGGCAGAATTGTTCGGAGGATCTGACTGAGGAGCAAGTATTCATGAAGCTTTATTGCATACCCCAAACCCAGCCTCCTTGTCTTGAATTGCACCAAACTTATTTGGATTTGATGGATTAAACCATGAGATTCATTTGTACGTGAATTTGTTTTAGAGAAATATGATTTTTTTTCACCAACTCTACTTTCTAATTAGGCTGCATTCATTTTTCCTCGGAAATGACAAATGAAAACTCAAACTTTTTTCTTGATTTACAAACTCACATTAGCAGTTATTTATTTAGCTCAAGAAAAAAGTTTAACGTTTACTTTTTCATTAGCACATTTAAATTTTGTTTAATGAATTTAAAATCTGACTTCTTGTTGTTTTACCCTGTTTAAAAACCTCACATTTGAATTTATATTGTCACTATGAGGGAAGTAAACAGTTAAAACATATCCAAACAGCAGCTCTAAACCCTACGACAGATGAATGAGAGTGAATCCATGTAGACCAAGCCCCCACAATGCCGCTCTAAAAATGGTCCCATCCCGGAAGTAAGAAAAATTGCAGTTCCACCCTCATCCGCTGGGGGCTGGTGCCAGAAGCGAGCAAATCCTCATTGACTCCCATGTTAAAAATGCCGATTTCACAGCAGAAATAAACATGTTTACAGCCTGGTGCCAAAACATGTTTTTTGTCTAAATTATCTAGTTTATACTCATGACAACTCTGAGGGGGGTGAATTTTTTTCTCACTCTTCTGTTTAAGTGTATTGAAAGCCTAAAATTCTGTATAATTAATGAGCATCCGACACACGTGACCGCCGCCTCAGACCCACGTGACCACAGAGCTAGCTCCGTGGAAAGGCCTCAGTACAGCCTCGGTCTGGCTTGGAAACTGCTCCGGCATTTTGAGTCTCTGTGTTTGTGTATTCTTCTTTGGATATTATTGGTGCAATTGTTGGACAAAATGACTTGCAATGGTATTAATTGCACTAATAGAGCGTCCAAGGAGTCTCCACTTCATTTTTTTCGGTAAGTTAAAATCTATATTCGTATTTTATGTCACTGCCACCTTTAAACTAGCTTAGTTTACCGAAGTAGCTAGCTAACTATCAGTTTAACATGTAGCATGTACTGTTTAACCATGAAATTTAAATGTAAAATACGGTAAAATAATTAATAGGGCATATTTAGATGGGTAATAGGGTAAAACCCAGTGCATTTAAGATAAAAATGGGTTGAAATATGACGGAGCGCTAAGAGGGAGACTTCTGTGTCCATTCTTCCATCCGGTAATCCCCAGCGGTCAGGCCGGGCAGCCTGACCGATCCGGCGCCTACTTGCTGCGCCTAGCTGCTGCGCGGTCTGACCGCTCGTGGAGTTTTTCATGTCTGACTTTAACCGCATCTACCGTATTACGGCGTGAGCGCAACAGCGACAACTTAATATCGATGTGTAAGCAGCCTGAGTGGTAGGGTGTTTTCATCTGAACCCTTAAAACCTCGAGCAGGCTATGCTGCACTATTGACGTGTTAGCGCGCGGCGCAACTTAGCAACGTGACATGTCTCTGAGAAAGCGTAAAACACGGACGCTTCTTCTGAAGCGGAAAATAACACTTCTTCTTAAGCAGAGCAGGATGTCGCCTCGGCTCGTTCACGGCCGAGCCGGACTGAGCTCGATAACATTGACCAAGCACAGCCACTGGGTCGTTGTAGCTGCCACCAGGCCTGCTGAAGGAACTCCAGCGGGTTTCATCAGACTCGTAAAGTTTCTTGTTTTTGATGGGGATTTCTGTATTTTACCGCTCCCTCCTGCAGTCTTCCCCTATTAAAATTTAAAATGTGTAACTTTATGTATTGTGATGAATGACTAATATTCATGTAAAACTAAAACGTTAGGCATTTAGGGGGAAAAAACAAAATAATAAACATTATACAGATGTCAAATAAATCAAACTGTAATTAAACTATATATTTTCAAAGTCATATAGACAGCATGATGGTTTGTGTGATCCGCGCGGTTTCACTTACACCCCTTTAATGATCAGGCTGTTTTTTATTATTTTTATCAGCTGATAGCAGTTAAAATTATGGTAAAAAATACTTTTATCTGTTTTTGATAACTTAATGCCCAGGAAGAGCATCTTCCTGGGCATTAAATATAACCCAAATGTTTTATTATGAGCAGATCTGATGAAGGTGTAGACAAGCAGTCTGCAAAGTAAAACTTGTTTAGAGTCCAAACTCTTACTAAAGCTTTTGAAAAGAAAAAATGGTTGAATTTTGAGAAGTATCCACAACAGGGGAGCGAGACCTCTGAAAAATGTATATTTTCTCTGAATTCATAGAATAATGTGAAGATTCTGGGAAAAGTTGGGATTCTGAGATTAAAACGTAAATCTTTCTAATCATAATTCTGGCAGTTTTTGTGTCCTTCTGCTGTGGAAAGTCGTGCAACATGAAGATACTGAGAAGATGCTTACAACCTGTATTTTTATTCCATCCATAAATAAAATCATGAGCTATTTTTTTAATCCAAATTTGATCCAAAGGGCCATCGTTGGTTCCAGACCCGTTCTAGAACATTCCTCTAATCTTAAAGTCATCATCAGTTTCTTCCTTTTAACAAATATTTATTTGTTCAAATATTTAATATTTATAACTGGAATATTTGTTCCTCCCTCTCCCACTGCAGTTAGTCCTGTCCTGCAACCCTGTTTTTGCAGCTAGCGAAGCCAACCATCACTAACCTGGGGGTGGTTTTGGACCCAGAGATGCGGATGGACTCCCACATTAGCCAGGTGGTTAGATCCTGCTTTTCCCGGCTTCGCCAGCTACCAAAGATGAAGTCCATCCTGAAAGACGTGTCATATTTTCTCCCCAAGCCGGACCTGACCGTCATGTATCGGTCCAAAATAGTGTGATGATATTGTGTTTTTTGTACATAACAGACTTTTTAACAGACAAATTTGTCGCATTCTCCTACACCTCTTCACGGGCTCGCCACAGTAAATATTCTATTAGGTGAGAGATAAACTTTATTGTATTTATCCTAGTGAATCTATAATTAAACGGGTAAACTAGTAGTAGCACATCCAACGTCAAAGAAAGTAAAATGTTACTATCAGGAGAGGGAGAATGTTTAAGTGGTTAGCAGCAGTGTGCTAGCCGATGGCCCCCTCCATGAGGCCACCACAGCTCAGCAGAACATCATTGTAGCTTCTTCTGGGGAGAAAAACACTTAGAGAGAAAATAAAGTTAACAGCTGAAATAGCAGGAAATAATACAGTTAAAGAGCAGATTGTAGAAGAAAGAAACCCCTGGGTTAAACTGGTCTGTCTACTGCATAATGCTGAACTCTAACATGTGTCCTCAGGGAAGGACCTGATTGGTGTCCAGAACCTGCTGAAGAAGCACCAGGCTCTGCAGGCTGAGATCACAGGTCATGAACCTCGCATCAAGGCTGTCACCCAGAAAGGAGAGACCATGGTGGAAGAAGGATGAGCAGGTCTGGTCCTGACATGTTTCTGAGGTGTCTGCAGGTTCTGGCTCACTTTTTTTGGGTCCAGGTCACTTCGCTGGTGAGGAAGTGAAGACTAAACTGTGGGAGCTTCATGGACGTTGGGACACGCTGAAGGCCAAGGCGTCCCAGAGGAGGCAGGACCTGGAGGACTCTCTGCAGGCCCAGCAGTACTTTGCGGATGCTAATAAGGCCGAGTCCTGGATGAGGGAGAAGGAGCCCATCGTTGGAAGTCCAGACTAAGGGAAAGACGAGGACTTGGCCGGGGTATGGAAGTCCCTTCCTGAGAAACTCCAATCGCTTTTCTTTGCTCTCTTTCCAGTCCTTCATAATTAGTGTTTCTGTATTTGTCATTTCCTTCGGTTGTCTACCAGACGTCGTTGCTCGTTTGAGCGTCTCATGGGTTAGGGGTAGAAGTGCTGGCCTCGCACAGGAAGTGATGACAAACGTGTTCCCGTCGCTCTTATTTCAAACGGTTTACAAGCTGTGATGTGTGTTCCCGCTGCAGGGCAGCCATGACACGTGGCAGCCGGCAGAAGGCTCACGCTTTTCCACTAAACACCCGCAGAGCTGCGTCTGCGGTGAACTGAGCAGGGTTTGTTTTACAGTGGCGGATCCGATTGGACCATCGCTGCGAGAAAGCTCCACTTGTGTCAGACGAGCTGAAGGTTCTGATGTTCTGCTCCACAGGCTCTCCTGAAGAAGCACGAGGCCCTGATGTCGGACCTGTCGGCTTACGGCAGCAGCATCCAGGCCCTGAAGGAGCAGGCCCAGTCCTGCAGGGTGAGTTCAGAACCCTCGGCCCGTCAGAACATTCTTATCCACCACGTTCTAACACCAGACCTGTTAACCCGACAGCAACAAGGTAATCAGCAGGTGCTTTTGTCCTGCAGGACCTGAAGGACAAAGAGTACCGCCTGAGGGACATCAACAAGGTGGCATCTGAACTGGAGTCAGGTCTGATGGCTGAGGAGGCTCCTATGGTTCCGGCTCAGGTGAGCGTCACCTGTCTGCAGCAGCTGGTCCCTCTCACTTCCTGGTTTAACTCTGCTCGTCTGTTTCTAGCAACAAGAACATCTGGGTTCTGCTCCTGGAAAGGTGCGTGTTGTCCTCCGCCTCCACCAGAACCAGACGTGGTGTTTATGTTACCACTCATTTGTTTGTTTGTTTGTTTACAGGATGAAGCCGACTCTAACACGGCGTCACCCTGGAAGGTGAGTTCATTCAGCTGATCAGAGGTCACCTCTGATGGCCGCAGTCACGGCCGACCGTGCTGACATCACACAGGAATTCAGGTGACCCGGCAGGCACCAGGTGCTGGTGAAAGTGGGGACATGTCAGCTGGTTGCCATGGCTACAGTTATTTTTATGCATCTGTATGACTGCTGACTGGTGTGTTTCCTGTGACCTTTGACCTCAGACCGTACGGTTGGGCGTTCAGACAACGGCTAACTTTAATTCCATCAAGGTAAGAGGAAGCTCTTCCCTTCCTTTCTGAGCGATCCGTCTCCAGGTTTCTTCGTCCGGCGTCCAGCCCGCTGGCGTCCACCTTCATCTCACCTTCATCTCATCTCACTTCATTTATAGTGCAATACTTTCACATTATTTTCCCACACTTCTGTATACCTGTATTTTGTTGTTTTTCAATAAAGAATGACAAATTATTTAAGTTTGGTTTTTGTTGCACACAAATATATATCTGTAAAAAATATCTACAAAGCTAATGTTTACATAACAAGTATGATTGGGTTTTGCAATACGGCACTCAAGTTTATTTTAGTAAGATTTTCAAACCAAGTAAAGTTAGTAAAGAACACATTTCTATTGTCTGCTAAGAAACTGTTGGGATTTAAAATGGGCCTGTTGTACAAATAACTTGTAAATGATTATTCCTCACTTTTGTCTTAACCAAAGAAATTCCAGTAATTGAGCAAAAACATTTATTTTTAACACTACATTTTATAAAACAGGGCGCAAAGTGTCGGCACATGTATGTATGTATGTCGATGGTCCGCCCCAACCAAACCAAGAGACACAGACGTCAGGGAGGCCAAGGTTGTCTCTGCAGCTCTCTGGGCACCACGCCTCACTCAGCTGTCTCCAATGATCCAAATGGCTATGGAGAAAAAATAACAGGTTTGGCCTAGCTGTTTAAAGTACAAAACCATACATGAAGTGGTCAAGACAAGTACTTGGTACTTACACTTGCTTTGTGTAGCTGACGTTGACATACAGGCTGCCATGGCGACCTTTTAATAGATCTAAGAAAAAAATGTAATAAAAGAATGAAACTTAAAAACTCCCAAACCTCATGTCATATTTACTAATCAGCTATGGCTGATTTATTGTTTGGATCACAGTGAGTTACACTAATTCTAATATATTTTTATTTCTATTGTACATACATACTTTTTAACTGTTATTTTCACATGACTGTTATCAGGCTCTCTTGTTCTGGTTCTGATGATAACTCTGTGTCTTCCAGTAAGTTATCTTGTGCTTACTTCATCTGTATAATGTCTCTTTACTTTTGGTAAATTGTACTGAGTCCAGAATAAAGGCTAGTTGGCTGTACAAGATACAAACAAGTATTACGTTTTGGAAATATATGAAACACCGCCAGCATCTGTTAGAGCCTGTGGCGGGGTGCTGAGGGACGGCTCCAGCCCAGGAATGAGCTCTACACGCCGGCCGGGAGGGTTTGAAACACCGCCATCCTCTCCTCTGCTGGCTGTTCATTCTGTTATGGTTACCGGTGCTTGTGTTGCAATGTGAAACGTTTGGTCTCAGATTTTGTAAGAAAGATAATAAAATGTCCCCCCAAAGTACGACTTAAATATATTTTCTCTTCTTCATGATACATTTAATGGCTGGTGCGACTCAGGAGTGATAGCGCCGAAAAAAACTACTGAAAACTTGCTCAAAGCAAAATGTATTCATTACGGAAATAAATTATAAACTTACCGATTTAAAACTTTTTTAATACAGGTACTTCTCACGAACAGGCGCAGAAAACCTCCACCTAAACTCCGTGTGAGGTTCAGGTCGATGGGTGTTCCAGTTAGCTCCGGTTGGGTTGAAGCTAGGTGGCTACATCCGTTAGCTCGGCTCCCACCTCCGCTTTAGCTTTGGGTTAGCCAGGGTTAGCTTCAGGTTAGCTCGTAGCTAGTTCGCCTGGGTGTCGTCACTCGAGCCCAGCCTTACAGCCACACCCTCAGCGCCTCCTCTCTTCCCTTTTATGGAATTGTCTGGGCTGGACGGAACCTGTGACACGGTCAAAATGGCGGTGGTGGACACCTCCCATTATGGACAGATAACGTGTTATTGAAGCCTATGGAATCGAATTGTCCAGTATATGTACAGTCTATGGTTGTACCCCATATTTGAAAATTAAATTTGTGTAAAATTTAAGTTGCTCTTCTGAGATATGTGAGTGAACATTATTTTCTAATATTTTTTTTTAATTTCATTGACAGGAGCACTTCTATGATGGGGAAAAAGGCACAGGATATTTAGCGTGGCGCCTCAAAACCATGTCCAGGAGTAATATAAGAGGCCAGAGAAGGTAGCCACCTCACCTCATGTGCAAGGACCAAACCGTAAAAGAACAGCAACCACAGTGCCTCAACAGCTTGATGGAGATGCCTGCAGGGAGGCAGTTTCATTTCTTCTTCACTGTAACGATGAGACAGTTGTCTTTCAAAAGATGAATATGACCTTTCAACATCGACAGGACCTTGTGCATGATCCACAGACAAGTGCAGATGTCTTCAAAACATTCCCACGTTTTTTAGACGTTAAAGGACTAGTAAGTGGTATTTTTAATACGACTGCAATTGACTGCAGTCTTAGCTGGTCAGATTTTGACAATGGTGCTTATTTAATTAAAGCATTTTCATGCGTTAATGATTAATAGGTAAACCAAGACTTCCAACTGTTGCTTGGAGCTGAAACCTCTTCTAAAATGCTTGAGAAATGGGACACGACATTTAAACCCAAGGTTATTGATGAGGCCCGAAATCTGACTCAATCGGCGGAGGTTCGCCAACTTCTGAAAGCTGCTGAGAACCTTTCAACAGATGATGACTCCAGTAAGGCTACTCACACTCTTGCATTGTAGTCCAGCAAGCTCAAGCTTTTTTATTTGTGAATTTTAATATGCCTTCTTTTTCCCTGCCAAAAGACTGGGACAGTGATATGGCTTCTCTGCTGCTCCTTCTTCATTTGTTGCCACCCACTGCTGGTCGAAAGAGGACAAAAATTAGCCCCTGTGATGCGGTGGACAAAATGGTGCACTTTCACAAGGTGAATACGCCTCTTCTATTACAGTCTAATAAACTAGGGTAACCCATTAGCAACAGACTATTATTTCCTATCCGTGTATCATTCGTTCTTTTCATTTTCTATTTAAACAAAGTTTAAAAAAGGCAAATTTTGTTTATTTGGTTATCCATTCATACATTTTCAGCTGCTTGTCCGGGGTTGGGTCACGGGAACAGTAGCTTCTCTGGCTCCTCTCAACGCAGAGGAGCTGCGAGTCGACTCCGAGCCCCTCCCGGATGACTGAGGTTCCCACCCTATCTTGAAGGGAGAACCCAGACTCCCTGTGGAGAAAACTAATTTTGGCCGCTTGTATCCGCAATCTTTCTTTTGGTCACTACCCAAGCGGCTGAAATGAATGCAGGGAACGCCTTGGGATTTCTCAAGAGGAGCCCAAGTGGCTGTGAAGAGGGAAGTCTGGTCCTCTCAGCTTAGGCTGCTGCCCCCGCGACCCGACCCTGGATAAGTGATTAAAAATGGATAGATGGAATAGAACGAATGATGCATGGATTATTTCCTATATGCAAGTTGTCATTACAAAAGTAATTTTTATAGTTTTCTTATTGCCATATGTACACACCATATGCAGTTTGCTGTATAGCATGCAGGAAGCATTTAAAAAATTTAAGTTGCTCATTTCTCAACTGCTTTTTTACTGGTGCAGCAGTAGCTCAGGTGGTAATGCTGGTTGCCTCATAAATGGAGGATCATGGGCTCGATTCCAGCCCCCGCCAGGTGTATTCTGCTGTTGTGTCCTTGGCCAAGACACTTCACCCAACTTGCCTGTGTTGGTGGTGGTCAGAGGGGCTGACGGCGCCAAATGGCAGCCTCGCCTCTGTTAGACCTCCCCAGGGCGGCTGTGACTACAAAGTAGCTTACCATCACTAGCAGTGTGTGAATGTGAGAGTGCATGAAAGCATCTTTGAGTGTCCTAAACAAGCGCTATATAAGTTTGATGATTATTAAGTGTTCTTTCCAGTTTCATAGGTTTATTCCCTTCACATAAAAGCAAAACATTTAATTAGTTTCTCACCATCTATTTGTGGAAAATTTTATACATTTGTTGGTTGCTGGATGACCATACTGGAGTGTTTCAGCAATAAATACGATTATAAAAATGTCTATTTCATTTGTATGTGTTTTTGTTTCTCAGTCAAACTGCAGCATTGATGAACACCTGCAGAGACGAGAGGGGAAGCAGCCATACATTCTTGCAGTTGGTCGCACACCAAACAAAACTGGTGCATTCTACATTGTTGTGGACAAGCACCTCATCCCCTGCCAAGCCACCAGCTCATTGGGTGCTTTTGATGAACTGTTCAAATGTCACTACGTTTTCAACCTGTCCTATGATGAGTCCCTGGTCCAGCTCTTCACCTTTGTGCAAACAACGATCTACAACATCGTACAACATCGACGCTACAACAACAAGTGGATCTCCAAGAGTTTGTGAGCTTCGAGCAAAATTCTTTAACTAGGTTTAAAAAATGTTCAGGTGTTTCATCTGTCAAGCTGTTCATGCTGCTTGCCAGTTACTAATAACTCATTTAAGACTTGACCATAGTTTCTATCCAAGCACCAGGTTTAAGTTGGTTTGTGCACAAGATCGTTGTAGGCGACAGTTTTCTACATATTCGGGTTTCAAAAAACATTTAGCTGTTCGTGAAAAGGATCTTTCGCAAAATCTTGATGCAGAAAATCCTGTTAACTGTTCAGATGGTGACACTAAAGAAAGCGAAACCAATACCACGCAGAGCCCAGAAAATAATGGCTTTGAGGAGAAAGGAACTGATCTTATTGCAAATGTGAAACATATTTGTGCGTCAATAATTGGTAAACTGCAAGGAAGTGGTATGACAAATAGTGCATAAGAAAAATTGGGCCTCTAATACATATGTGGAGCATGAGGTTTGAAGCTAAACATAAGGTTTTCAAAAACACTGTTAAGAACTTTAAAAATGTCACAAAGTCCCTTGCAAAAAAACACCAGATCTCCATAGGATACCACTGGGAGACGTCACCTTTAAATCGCATCGAACATGGACACTTGAAATCATTTAATGTGGACACTGAGGACAATACAGAGATCTTTGCAAAAGCGCTGCATGCAGCACCAAAAGACTTATTTTCTTCTACCTGGATCAAAATAAGTGGAACAGAGTACAGACAAGGACTAATCATTTGCTGTGATGTTAAAAATGAAATGCCTGTATTTAGTCAAATAAGAAAGATCATTTTAGCTGACAGTACCACGTACTTCCTTGTGGACAAGCTTGTGGTCGATAATTTCAGTGAGCATTTTCATGCCTACAAAGTGTTTAAGATTGAAGAAAAGGATGTTGTGAAAGCAGACAATCTCATCAGTTACAAACCGTTTGACTTGCAATGTGCACATAGTGGTGTTGGTCAGTATGTTGTGCCTCTATTTTATTTTTAGTTGTATTAAAGCAGCTGATTGGTGGCCAGTTTGTTTTGGTGCTTGGAAGACCTTTGGAATTAAAGGATTTTTATTTAATTTGTTTATGTATCGTTGTATTTCTTGAGCCTCAAAGGCAATTACGTTCAGGCTTAATAGAGATGAATGGCATTTATGGCATTTATCTTTCACATTATTCTGTTGCCTCATGTGAAATGTGAAATTTTGTAAATTTTGATTATGGGAGTGTTTTCACTATTGCAAACACTTAACTACAACCAAACTGGTGTTTGCTGTGAATTTCACAATATCATAACAAATTGATAATTAGAACATGTTAAAAACACTTGTTAAAATTTTAATCAAATATTAGTGCTGATTAGTGTTAAATACACTTAAAAGTGACACTCCAAAGTGTCATAAAACAACACTCCAAAGTGACATAAAACAACACTCCAAAGTGTCATAAAACAACACTCCAAAGTGTCATAAAACAACACTCCAAAGTGTCATAAAACAACACTCCAAAGTGTCATAAAACAACACCATTGATGGTGTTATTTTATAACACTATTGAAAGTGTAATTTTAACACTGGACTGGTGAGGATTATATAAACACTGCAATAGTGTTAAAAATAACACTATCCGAGTTAAATTTACACTGACGATTTTGGTCAACATAAAAACAAAACACGCTTACAACTCTGGTGTTAAAAGGGAAGCATACATTATTACAAACAAGGTTTTTCTTATACTAAATTTTAGAACGTTTTTGAATCAAAGGATGCCGTTTTTCTTGAGTTACAGTGGGCACAGAAAGTATTCAGACCCCCGTCAGTTACTCACGCTTTGTGATTTTGCAGCCATTTGCTAAAATCAACTCATTAAAAATTTCTCATTAATGTACACACAGCACCCCATATGGACAGAAATATACAGAATTTTATGCAGATTTATTAAAAAAGACAAACTGAAATATCACATGGTCCTAAGCTCAGTATTTAGTAGAAGCACCCTTCTGAGCAAACATAGCCATGAGTCTTCTTGGTAAAGCTGCAACAAGAGTCCCCCTGTAGCTCAGTCTGGCTGGACGGCCTGCTCTAGGAAGGGTTCTCATCCCAAACATCTTCTATTTAAAGATTCTGGTGGCCACTGTGCTCTTAGGAACCTGAAGTGCAACAGAGATGTTTTTGTAACCGTGGCCAGATCACTGCCTTACCACAGTTCTGTCTCTGAGTTCTTCAGGCCGTTCATTTGACCTCATGGTTCTCATTTGCTCTGACATGCATCTTCTTCTTCTTTTTACTGGACAAAGCAAGCTGGACCCCTCGCGGCGTATTGCTGCCACAACAACATTATGCCCACTGCCAAACCCGTCTATATCCTTACATATACTCCGACTTCTTGCAGAACATAGCAACACCTCCACCCTGCGCCACTCCACCAACTCCAGTAATGTCCTCAGACTGAATGCAGTCACCCCTAATTCACTCAAAGCCTCAAATAAAGACTGCCGCTCCACTGCGTATCGGCCACACCTCAGAAGAACGTGCCCTACCGTCTCCAGATCTCCACACTCATACCTACCAGTCGAGTGCCAACCAATCAGAAACAACACCCCCCTCAAGCAGTAATGTCCTAGCCGCAGCCTGGTCATGACCCCAGATTCTCGTCTCCTAAGGAAAATATCCCGCCCACGACCACCCACCTGTCTCTGCAAAGCAAAATAGGACCATCCAGTGGTCCCCTCATCCCAGGAGGCCTGCCACAACCTCATAGCCTCCTGACTAATTGCAGATTGACACTCCGGAGGCCCCAACTCCACCCCCAAATCCACAACCTGCCTCCCCAGTGCGCCTTCAGCCTCAGCATCCGCCCGTTCATTACCCTCCACCCCCACATGCGCAGGAACCCAGGCAAAACACACCTCACAACCCTTAACACCCAACTGATGCAACGCCATCTTGACAGAAGCCAGCATGTCCGGTCGAGACTCGGAGTGCTGTCCCACCAGTGCTTCCAGGGCCACTGCCGAGTCAGAGCATATAACAGACCGTGGTGGAGCATGCTCCCCCACCCAATGTAAAGCACACATAATAGCCACCAGCTAAACTGTAAACACTGAACAGCCATTCCGAAGCCGGCGGCCACTGCTGTAACCCAGACTCAGACCAACCCCACCCCCACTCTACCACTTACCGAGTCCTGCGAGTCATCTGTAAACAACTGCAAATAAGATCCCAAACTCGTATCCAGAAAACCCGTAAAATCATCAGCCCTCCCAGCAGCCTGGCCTTGACCCAGGAAGGAAAAATCAACCTCAGGTTCAGGCAACATCCAGGGCGGAACCTCAGTCCAAACCAAATGAGAACTCACAGGCCACTGGAGAAAGCCCAACTCCTCCGCCTGTCTCCTCAGAAGATCCGGGAAACCACCCCCAACTTCTCTACCTGACCCCTCGAATTCCCAATGTCGGCTCAACAACGCCTTTGCAGGGGCTGACTCCCCCACGCCCTTAACCGCAACAGGTAACGGAGCCCAAATTTGACCCGCCGAAACTCCAACGGGATGTCTCCAGCTTCAACAAGGAGGGCTGCCACCGGGGACGACCAAAATGCCCCAGTACACACCCTCATAGCCGCTGCCTCCAACAAATCCAGCTGCTTCAGGGTCGAAGGCGCAGCCAAACCATACAGGAAACTCCCGTAATCCAAGGCCGACCTGATCATGCCCTCATAAACCAGCATCAAAGCGGCTCTGTCTGCCCCCCAGTCCGACCCAGCCAGACACCTCATTACATTAAGAACGCGGCCACACCTGTTCACCAAGCCCCGCACGTGCACCCTCCACGTCAGTCTCTCATCCAACCACATGCCCAATGACCTACACACTAACACGCGTTCCAAGTCCCGCCCCTCCAACCGCAGCCCCACCTCAGAACCCTTCCTCTTAAAACCAAAAACCATATATTTAGTCTTGGTAGGGGACAACGTAAAGCCCCAGCATCTCGCCCAAGACACCACACCGTCCGAACTCTCCTGTATCTTATGAATAACATAACGAAGATTTCGACCACTCTTCCAGAAAGCCCCATCATCCGCAAACAGCGATCGTCCCACATCACCACCCAAGGAGCCAAACAGACTGTTGATTAGGACATTGAATAAAACCGGGCTGATCACACTGCCCTGCGGAACCCCATTTTCTACCCCGACCGACTCGGAAAGCACCAAACCCACCCTTACCTGGAGTGTTCTATCACTTATGAAGCCCCTGATCCACCGCCTCATCCTCCCCCGCACCCCAGCCCTGTACAGAAACACCAGCAGCCCATCCCTCCACAGCATGTCATATGCCTTCTCTATATCCAGGAACACAGCCAAGACCACCTCCTTATTCTCCAAAGCCAGCCTGACCTCCAGATCCAGGGGTGCTACCGCGTCCATAGTGGAACGCCCCTGCCAAAATCCACACTGGTACTGGGCGAAGAAACCGCCGCTCTCCGGGAAGTGCACCAACCGGGAGGAAACCACACACTCCATCACTTCACATACTACAGACGTTAAAGCAATAGGCCTGTACGAATATGGAGCCCCTGCAGGTTTCCCAGACTTCAGGAATGGCACAATGACCGCGTGCTTCCACTCAGCTGGCAAGCGACCAGTCCCCAATACACAGTTAATAAAGGACAAGACCTCCTCCAGGAATAGACCTCCAGCGTGCTGCATCAGCGGGTACCCTATCCCATCCCTCCTAGGACTAGTATCTCTCCCAGTACGAATGGCTCTCTTAAGCTCCACCATAGCTGACATGCATCTTCTTCTTCTTCTTCTTCTTGTTTATTGGCAGGTGGCAACCAACTTCTAGGTGCATTTCCGCCACCTTCTGTGTGGGAGTGTGAGTCGCAATAGGGAGAAACTGTTCTAACTAAATTCTATTTATTAAATTACTAGTCTTTAAAATTTCAATTAGTAATTTATCCAATTAATATATTCCTCAAATTCAGCTTTTCGTTATCTTTCATCTTTAATTGTCTAGTTAATATTTTCCTATTCTTTATATATATATTTGTCACATTT